TTGAAGACTCCGATTTATTGAAAAAAATGGAAAAGGCGAGCTTCGGCAAAAACAACAACATTTGTTTTTCACGGTAAGCATTCATTATTTATTTTTAATCAAAAAAACTTAGTTCAAACTTTTTTTTTTAACATTATCTTTAATATGAACACAACATGTGTCGGGAGTTTGGGATCCCTTTAAGCATATTCGAACCTGTTTTAAAAATTTCATATGCTTTAAAAAAAAACACATGTATATTCCTACCCATTATTCTTATAATTACTATACGTAATGAGTTCAAAAAAATTTGTAAAAACTTTGCCAGACTGATTTTAATTGTAAAAAAATTTTTACAATTAAAATCAGTCTGGCAAATAAATTTTCTTTATAGACTCCAAAACATCGTTTGACAAAAATGTTTGTTTCGCAAGTGCGGCTTCCGAAACCGCTACTTTCGTATGTTGCAAAATAGTTTTGTTTCGTATGTCAACTTGCGAAATGCTAAATTTCGGAAGTAGCTCTTGCGAAATGTATGCTGAATTGTATGCCTCACTTTTAGGAAATTTTGACTTAAAATATTACCCTGCATAATCAGTGTAGTTACTTTTAAAATATTGTAGCATCTGTATGATATTTTGTTGACTACAACATATTTTGGTTAAATGATCAGGTCTGTTAATTATATATATATATATATATATATATATATATATATATATGTATATATATATATATATATATATATATATATATATATATATATATATATATATATATATATATATATATATATATATATATATATATATATATATATATATATATATATTAGGGTGGGTCATAAAACTTTTTTTTCTTGTTACAGGCTCTAAACATTGCTAGAAAGTTGTTTTTTATGTACTAATTTAGGAAAGTATTTACTTTTATGGATTGAACAATGTCTTCCACTCGCAACTATAATTACAAAAATTAGCAGGCCCTATTATTATTCAAAAAAAAAAATTTCAAAATTATGTGATGTAAGTACTCAATTAAAGCAAAATTTTATAAAAATTTCAAAAAAAATAATTTTTTCAGCAATATGATTTTTATAAAACGTTTTATTATTTTCGAATTTTTTATAAAATTTCGTTTCTTTTGAGTACCAGGTTGACCTACTTTTGAAAAACTTTTTTTCTCCAAAATATTTGGGTACCGGTAATTTTCCCAATAAAGTTGCGCCCTTTAAATCTATCACAATCATTCTCATATTTGATAGTATCAATATTAATAACTATTAGCAATGTTTAGAGACTGTAACAGGAAAAAAAAATTTTTTAACCCACCCTAATATATATATATACATACATACATACATACATACATACATACATACATACATACATACATACATACATACATACATACATACATACATACATACATACATACATACATACATACATATGTATACATACATATAGAAATATATATATTTATTTTTATATATTTATTATAAATAGAGTTCACACATTTTTTACGTCTATTAGTTTCATGTTTGTTGCAATTATGAGTAAAGATGAAAAATGTTTTTTAAAACGAGAAAAATGTTTTTTAAACATCTCTTGCAGGCCTTGCGATGAATAAGAACTGCGGGACGCATAAGCACGACGTGATTTTTGACGTCATTAAATTCTTTTTATTTGCTTTTCATATTTATTGACATTAACTGCACCAATTTACTTAATTACCGCAAAACTACTTCAAATCGTTTATGTAGAAATGTTATTATTTAAAAATGTTTTGGAATGTTTCGTTTTTTAAAATGTAAAAACATTTGTTTATTTTCTCAACGTTTGTCACGTTTTGTCTATACTAAACGAATAAAAAACATTATAACTTAAATTTAAAAAAGATTATAAAATATGCTAATATTTGATTTTTTTTTCTTAAATATGTAATTTAAAGTTTTTCAAATAATTATTTTTTCTTTTTAAAAAGTCAGCGAGTAATAAACTGGAAATTTTAATATTGTACGATTAAAAACTGTGCAATAGCTAATATTTTTACAAGCGATTTTATATAATATTTATTTATTTATTTTTATTTATTTTCATAAAGCGGTTGATAAGCACAATCACTTGTATTAATAAAAAACTTAAACGAGCGTTTTGAATAGATTTTTAATGTTAACAAGGGATTTTATTTCTAGCAAAATAAAATAAAATGTTAGAATAAAAATCTTATAGGTATAAAAGAAGTATTTCAGCGAAAAAATTATTCTTAAAAATTATTATTAAAAATTATTCGAAAAACTATTGAAGTTTTATTTTTCAGCAGCTGTTCTTGAGCACGCTTCGTTGAGTTTCGGTAACTTTTAACATAAAAGCGATTGTTATTATTTAAGTAATTTTTTTGAGTTACTTTTTACAAAAATTTTAATAACTGTACTTTTTTTTGAATCAAGTAGAATACGTTTTAATATAAATCCTTTTTTTTTTTTTTCATTAGCGCTCACCAATTTTTAAAACGTTTCCTCGAAATTACTCTTAAATACTTTAAATACGTCTAACAGTTAATAAATATTTTTAAATTTATGGAATAATTTTAAAACCTAACAAACCCCGCAAAATAATTATTTAAGTTTAAAATCTAAAACTAAAAGAAAGTAGTTTTGTTCAATTTTGCTTTTGCTGAATAATTTTACTAAAATGTTAGCTTAAAAGATTTAAACTTTTTTTTTAATCTGAATTTTTTCTGCTTGTAAATAATGAGCATATTTAATTTTTTTTAATTCAAACTTTTATTTTAACTGCGTGCGGTTTTTAAAATACTTTATTAAATGTTAAAATAATCGTAAGTTACTTCATTAAAATTCCGCTCAAAAATATCTTTAAATATACTCAAACAAAAAAATTTTTGCTCAACGCAAATAGCCCTAGCTACACGCAAAATCGCTCTTGGACGACGTAAAATTCACATCGCCCGACGCTTTATCGCAAGGCCTGCTCTTGCATATTGGATGGCATACTAAAACATAAAATTGTATATAAAAACGTTATGAAACCTAATACGAAAATATATCAATAAAAAACTGCAATATATAAAAAAATAAAGCAACAAAAAAAATCTAAACTAGCTTTTTTGCAAGCAGCATATGTTTTTGCATCGATTTTACAAGGTTGTTGTATCGATTTTACAAGGTTGTTGCATCGATTTTACAAGATTGTTGCATCGATTTTACAAAGTTGTTGCAGGTTTCATTTGGAACTCTTCTCCCAATGGTCTCTAGTTCTTGCTTTATGCTAATTACTGATTCTATTTGCACCTTGACTAATTCTTTTGTCCGCCTAAGCCCAAATAGGTTCAATTGGATACAAATCTGTGATCAAGCTGGCCAGGGCATTAAATCTACTATAATTTCTTTCATCCATGCTTTTACATGTTGTTGAAAATGTCACCATTTGTTTTAATCAGCATGTCCACTGATAGAATCATGTAGTTCTCCAGCGTCTCTATATATGTTGGTTGATTCAACCTGTATAAATGTTACATACTCCTACTCCAATAAAGTTAAAGCAGTCCCAAATACCAACACTGCCACCGCCACTTTGGAACAACAAAGCGATCACTATACTTTTCTGATTTAAATCTTCTATCATTTTTGTTCTGTAGTAAAATGTTTCTAACTGTATTTGAGGAAATACGTTTTTCACAATTTTTGTTTATTGTGGTGGCGAGTTCACAATAACTTAACATTGGATTGGCTCTTACTTGACAAAATATAAGATTATTTTCGTGTTCATTAGTTTTTTTTAACCTTCCTGATCCTTCTTGGCGTTGGATGCCACTTGTTGTTTAAAATGTCTTTAAGTATATCTGATGCAATTTTCTGAAATTTTCTTGTTATTTCTCTATTACTGATCTTTGAGCCATCCTTCATACCTATTATTTGCCACATTGCTACTTCACTTACTGCTTTTCGACCCATTTCTATGTATATTTATTTTTAGGTCTTATCAAATTATTTAAAAAGGTTTTAGATGTGACTAAACTAGTCATCATAAGTCTATCGAACATTTTATGGGAAATTATCAAACTAAAATATAAATTAATAAAATAATTATGAATAACTGTTAGGTTGACAAGAAAGTAGAACGGAACTCAATTAAAAAGTTTTAAAATGCCTATTTTTTTTTTGCAATATTTTTCGGTATGTTTTTTGTATTCTTTTGAAAAAAGTAAATTATTAACTAGTAAAATTAAAAGCAAGTTTTTAAAACTCAATGCTTTTATATGTTATTAAAACACAAATTTTGCAATAGGTTTTTTCTGATATTATCATTTATTTTTTTAACATTTGGCTGTATTCGTATGTAAAAAAACAAAAAAAAATCAGAAAGAGTCGGGTTTCAAACGACAGACATTTAATTTACTATGTCAACGCCTTATCCAAACAAGCTAAATGCATGTATAAGTAGGTACAAATAATATACCTTTTTTAAAAATTATTATTCTTCTTCCCATATAATAGATAAAACTAATTAAAATTAACTAAATTAATTTACTTAAAAATGGCAAGATTTAATGTTAAAAGAGAGGAGGAGTTAATAAAATCATTGAAAAAAAAAAAAAGTAACTGTTTATAAACTTATTATTGACATGTTGTAGAGAAATAATTTTCCTGTTGTTCAAAAACTGTTTATAAACTTGAAAGCACTGTACATACATACATACATACATACATACATACATACATACATACATACATACATACATACATACATACATACATACATACATACATACATACATACGTACATACATACATACATAATCAGAATGCATAAAACTCTACAAAAAAAATATTTAAAATTATTTGTTAAGAAATATTTTGCACCTTTATTTTTTTAATATTATGTCATGGTTTAGTTTAAGACTTTAAATTTATGTTGTATTAGTTAATAAAAATGATAATATATTGACAAAACCTTATCAATATTAGTTTATTATCAGTTTTGTTTTATGTTTTATTAAAGGTTATATACTGAAAGAGCATACAGAGATGAAATGCTTTCAACTAATGTTCCTGAAATTCAGCGAACAAATCTTGCTAGTGTTATCCTCACTTTAAAAGCTATGGGGATTAATGATCTCATTTCTTTTGATTTTATGGATCCTCCACCAATGGAGGTAATGTTTAATTTATACATATAAATTTTGCATTTGAGCTATTTGAAAATCATGTGTATTGTAAACTAGTTTTTTTTACATTCAGACATTGACAACTGCTTTAGAGGCTTTGCATTCTTTAAGTGCACTTGATGACGAAGGCCTTTTAACTCGACTAGGGAGACGAATGGCAGAATTTCCTTTACCTCCTCAGCTTTCTAAGATGCTCATTCAGTCTGTACACTTAGCATGTAGTGATGAAATTCTTTCTATAGTATCTATGTTGTCAGTTCAAAATGTGTTCTACAGGCCAAAGGTAAGTTTATTATTATAAGCTTATTATATAAGTTTGCAGAATAAGTAACTTATTAAGTTACTTATTCTGCAAACTTATATAAGCTTTTTTACTATTTTAATTTTTGTGATTAAAATATGTTTTTTTTAATTTGTATTTTTTTGATTTAATTTGACTTTTTTTATATCTTAATAAAAGTTATTTTGTTTTTTCAATTTAATTTGAAATTTCATTTCAAAAAAATTGCTACTAAAATTTAGAAAAATAATTAAGGTTGGTGTTTAATGTTTATGATTGATGTCTTGAGCTTTTTTAAGAGTTACCTAAATTTTGGAAAACTTACCATCAATGTAAAATTTACACCAAAAATAGATAAAAGAAAAATACATTTACATCAGTTTAATAAAGAAAGGGTGTATAGTTGGCTGTCAGAAAAAGGGTGTACAGCTGCCTGCCAGAAAAAGGGTGTACAGCTGGCTGCCATAAGGAGTGTACAGTATAGCTAAATCTTATAATTTTGGGGGTTTGTAAAACCTAGCTAAATTATAACATTTAGTCGGGTTTTTGGGGTAGATAACCCAAGCCAGGTTTGTAAAAAATCCTATTTTCAACATGGTCTTGGGCCTCCGTTACTATTTATACACATTTCATTTTTTTTTAACATAATTTTAGCAAGTCATTTTTTTATATATATTATAATTTTTTTTAGGAAAAGCAAGCGATTGCTGATCAAAAGAAAGCAAAATTTCATCAAATTGAAGGTGATCATATGACACTGCTGGCCGTATATAATGCATGGAAGAATAGCAAGTTTTCTAATGCATGGTGCTTTGAAAACTTTGTTCAGGCAAGATCTCTAAAGCGTGCACAGGATGTTAGAAAACAGTTGCTTGGTATAATGGACAGGTAATACTTTCTATTTTTTTAAATAGTATTTTTTCTATTAATTATGAATTTTGTTATAAATTTATATTTATTTATAGACACAAGCTTGATATAGTATCGTGCGGCAAAAATACTGTAAGGGCTCAAAAAGCTATTGTCAGTGGTTATTTCAGAAATGCTGCTAAAAAAGATCCTCAAGAGGGTTACAAAACCCAAACTGATAACCAGGCAGTTTATATACATCCTTCAAGTGCTTTATTTAACAGGTTTTTTTTGTTATATAAATTATTGTTACATGCACTATTTTTAAGGAGAATAATAATAATAATATATATTTATATTAATAATAGTATATTAGTATTAATAAAAAAAACAACAATTAAAAGTAAGTAACCACAATTAAACGTAGCCTCCTCATCTGTAGTGGCTTTCTCATCTCTGGGGAGGTTAATTGACATAAAAAATATATATATTTTAATTGAAACAGGCAGCCAGAATGGGTTGTTTATCACGAACTTGTTTTGACAACTAAAGAATACATGAGAGAAGTAACATCAGTTGATCCTAAATGGCTTGTTGAATTCGCTCCTGCATTTTACAAGTTTGCTGATAAAAACAAGTTAAGTAAAAGAAAACGCGAACAAAGGATTGAACCATTGTTTAACAGGTGTGTTACATTTTAATATTTTATAATATAGACTTATTTTCATTATATATTTTCACTTATTTTACATCTTTTTTAATGTTTCCTGATCAAATCATGGTTTGTTTGTTTTTTGGTTTTGTTTTTAATATAGAATCAGAAAAATTTTTACTACTGTTGATGTTTAAAGTTTATATTTGCTTCAGAATTACCTGTTTACTGTCAAAAAAAATTTAGAGTTTAAACATTTTATGCCTAAATGTTTGTGTTTATATAGGTTTTTAGATATTTCTATATTTAAACAACATATATTTAAAAATCTGGTCTTTACCTGTGTTTCTTGCAGATTAAATACTTGTATTTACCTAATTGTTGATATTGTTACACAAAATTACTAAAGTAATGTTAAATATCATAATTGTATTTTAATTTTAAGTTCTGAAAATTTATTTTTTGTTTTAAAATATCTAATAAAATGTTTAAACAAACTAAGGAATCTAGTGTGATAAAAACATCAAATACTTTACATTTCAACCCTAAGTTATCTAGTTCCAGTAGTATATCTTTGTAACTTGTTTCAAAAATATATTCATTTCTTTGTTCCAGTTTTTCTTTTCAGTAATATTGCTTTTTTTACCCTCAGATTAGGATTCATGATCTTCTACTCATAACTTTTCTAGTACAACCTTCCTTATGTCCTGCTGCCTTTAAGAATTAGCTGTTCTACTCTAAGAATACAAAAAGTTAACTAGTACATAAAACATCCCTTTCTTAGTCAAAGGGCTCTTGATTGAGTAAAGGCTTTTTTGTTCAGACAGATGTTAACAGAAGACTTATGTAATTTTAAGACCCATGAAAAAATAAGGATGCGAGAAAATTTTGAAGTAACAATATTTGAGGAAAAAACTATGTAAAATATTTGTGCTTGAAGGAATTAGTGAAAAAAATCTTTGCAAATTGTTCTGCCTCATTATTGAAAGTGTTAACAAGATCAGACCATGTGTAAAAGGTGTAATGTTAAAATTGCTTTTTTTAAAAGCAATTCTAATATTAAATTGATTTGGAAATTCGATTAAAAAATTAAATAACTAAATGAATTGTTAAAAATTCTAAAAAATTTTATTTAGGGTAAAACATAAGTTAGTTTTAACTTGTAAAAACACAAGGTAATTGTAAAATATATTATATAAAATTACAGTTATGGAATTCGAAGGACATAAACGTGTTAGTTTTGAAGTTAAGCAAAAACTCAGTATTTTAAGAATAATTGAATGCTAGATGAAATCTTCTTGACTCTCCTGGACAGCTCTCAGTTTAATTTTTCTAAAGCCGCATGTTGTTGAGGTTTCTTGATCTCTTTGATTTCAGAAAGACTGATTCCATTAGCACCTTAATTAATCTTTTTTTTTTTTTTGGTTCTTTATTGTCCTCCTTCTTTTCAAGGTTTCTCTCTTTTCAATGTTGTTTCTAATTGAATTGACCCAGCCTTTTCTCACAATCTCTAAACTTTTTATGTCTACAGTGGTATCCATTTTTTGGCAGTTATATAGTTGGAGGTGCCTTAGTTGCTGTATAAACTCACCTTTGATTTACTATATATGTATGTATGTGTTCTGTCTGAATCTCTGGCATGGTGTTCTCTCGTCCATAAGTTGCTATGCATATTTTTGCCTTATGTTTAAACTTTTGGTGTAGTGTTAGCTAAGTGGCTATGCAACTCTTCCTGTTATCTCCTAATGAAGAGATAACAGAAAGAGTTGTAACAAGAACTCTAAATCTCAGTTTAATGTTTGTTAATCAGGCTGGTAGTAAAGTTTTCTGAACTCTGTAGCTTTTAGAGAGGCTGATTTCATCAATATTGCTGTTCTGGTGACTTTAATCCTCATTATACTGAATAGTTTTGCTCTAGCACCACTAAACCTCCTGGCACTTAAGCTTATACTTTTGTCTCATATAATTTGTGTCTTGTCACTGACCCTAGCTTGTGTTCAGTTTTTTCCTTGCTCTTTTTTAGGTGGTTCTGACCATGCAATGATCTCTATAATTCTTTCTCTTTTTTTCAAACTCACTCATCACACCATTTACTACCCTGAAGCTGACTAGAATTCTTTTCGTAATTTTTTTTGTGATGATCCTTAGGCTGATGTCTTTCATCTTTCTGCTGATAGCTGTGTCTTTTACTTAAATTCGTGGATTCAGGCAGGTATGGAAGCTCATTGGTTTCAAGTGAAGCTTTATTCTACTTCATGGTTTTCATCTCCTTGTGCAACTGCTATATCTAATCATTATAATTTTTATTATTTTCACAATAGCAACTCTTGTGAGAAGAAATTTCGTTTTTTTATTGCGTGAAATCAATGTAAATGAGTGCTGCCAAATGCTGAGTTTCATTGTCAGTTTACTAAATCTTGTGTCTTATCTCTAAAGTTAGGTTATAGAGACTTTTGAAAAATCTTCAGCATTACAAAGCGAAGTCAAGTCAATCATATCTAATTCATAGATCTAATATTATTATTTTCCTAAGGCATTAATAATGAATTTGAGATGGATATATTATCTTATTACTATTCCAAAGTTATCCTTTGCAGAACTATTTGTAAAAACTTTTCTTCTAATTAGACTAAATCTTATGGTCATTTTCAATCCTGCCGATCCAGTCAAATAGGCTAACCCATTATTAGACATCCAAGTCACCCCAAGTTCCATTGCTAATGTCATTTCTCAATTAAATTCTTCCACGCTCTAAAAAACATTGTGTTAAAACAACACAAACTTTTGTGTTTCGCAACACCTTTGTCATATATGAACAACACAAGTTGATGTTAGTTCAACATAATGTTTTGTGTTACACAAACAACACAAGGCATTGTGTAGGAATAATCAGCACAAGGCATTGTGTAGGAATAATCAGCACAAGGCATTGTGTAGGAATAATCAGCACAAGGCATTGTGTAGGAAAAATTAAATTTATGAATAATCTTAAATTTTATTTTTTGTTTATTTATAATCAAGTTTCTCATAAAACATATTTTAAAACATATTTTAAAACATATTTTACATGGTGCAATGTTGAACTAAATAACTAAAACATGTTGCAATGCTTTTTAATTCAAATTATAAATTATAATAGAGGTATGTGTAGAGGAAAGTTTTATTAAGAAATGAAAAAACTTTACAAAGTATGCAAAAAGTATATTCAATATGCAAAAAGTATGTTCAATAACATTCTTTAACATGCAATGCAAATGTAAAAAGTAATTTCATTAACACTCTGTAACAAAAAGAATGTAAAAAGTATGTTCAATAACACTCTGTAACAAGTTTTTACTTTTTCTGTTCCTGGGTAGTGTATTTTCCTAACCCATTAGGTCTAGAACTGAAAGGAAATCACTATTATTCCAGAAAAACTTTTTTTCTGTGACCAGGGCAATGAAATTTGGAAAATCATATGTTTTCGAGAAAATGCTGAATTTGCTTTAAATGCAGTGATTCCCCCTTTAATGTTCCTGGACTGCTAGAGTTCTCCAGATGCTTCTACAATTCTCCTAAACACTCTAGATCATTCAAGAAACTTCCAAAACTTTCGAGAAACTCAGAACTTTCTAAAATGTTCTTGAATTTTATAAAAGTAGCTATACAAGTAATTTCATTTTACCAACTGTACTAAATTTACATGAAATATTAATATATACTTTATTTTAAATAATATATTATGTTTGTAGTTTGGATATAATATATTGAAATATATTTTTAAAATTTACTATAATATCATGCACCTTGGAAATTTATATAGTTTTACATAAAATATTTACATTGACATTACAAGGTTCCTACAGAGCCTGTTTTTTTCCATTTTGGCCTGTTTTTCTGTTGTTTTTTTTTTACTGTTTTAGTAAGTAATAGCCTGTTTTTTAAAAAAGTCTGACAATGTTTGTTTTTTAAAAAAGTTTGACAATGTTTTAAAATGGTATATTTTATGGATTTAGAAGGCAATCAGGACAAAAAGTTTTTGAAACAAAATTTACCAATTTTTTTTTAAGTTTATAATATCAGCTTTTACTTAACATAGTTTTAACATCTATTTTTTTGAAAAAAAATATTAAACCATGTAAATGTTATAAATTAAATTTATGAAAAACTTTTGTTAATTGTGTTTATTGTGTTATTGTTATTGTTGTGTTAAACAAATTAATAGTTAAATTATAGTAATATTTATGAAAGTTTATTTTATTTTTAAATGACGTTTTTACTTGTGTGAATGGATTCATAAATTAAATTATATTATTTTAAAAAGCAATTTTTTTTTTTGATATGGCGTTTACCTGTTTTGCTGATCAGGGGGTTTTATGTGACAACTAGAAAGATTACCATCCTAACCTCTTACTGCAATTTTATTAGAGGGTTTAGGCAGTTTTATAGTTCAAATGGTTTAGATTTTTAAATCAGAGTTAAGGATCCTCTTCTTCCTGATATGAAAGCAGTTCTACTGAATTCTAATAGGAAAGCCCCTTCCAATATAAAAGTTTCAACTGCTATGATTAAACTTTACAATGATCTTTCTAGACTCTGTTATACTGATATAAACCTTCTAGGCAGCCAGAAGTGCAATTTATTATTTTTATTTTTTAGTTAAAATAATAAATTTTTTTGAAGTAAATATTTTTGTATGGGAAAGACTAAATACCGATTGTCATGAGAAAAAAGCTATCCATGGATAAAAGCTTCAAATAAGTCTGTCAACCATGGCTACTGTAGATTTTGTTCTGTGGACAAAAACATTTCAGCTGGTGTAATCAAGATTGATCTACAGTTAAAGTCAAAGAAACATGAAGAAAATGATAAAATCAGTCAAAGAAACATAAAGAAAATGCAAAATTAGCTAGATCACAGTCTAAATTAGTGACAAATTCAGATGGTTTAGCTCTGAAGCTACCTACAAAAAGCATAATATTAAGTATGGAAGACGTAGTTACGGCTGAAGTAGTTTCGCAGTACGGAAGAAGTTGTAGTTGGAAGTAGTTCCG